TAGCTTTTCTGCCATTACTGCAGTACAAACTGTTATTACTCCTTACGCTAGACTATTTACACTGGCCTCATACCTTGTTGATAAATATTTGTCAAATGAATGGATGAACTGGGTGGATGAATGGTATTTTTAGTGTAGCTCTATGGCTCTTGGATCCCCCAGAAGTGGAGCTACCAATGGTTGTTGGCTGCCATGTGGATGCCGGGATCCAAGCCTGTTCTCTGGAAGAGCAGCTAGTGTACTTAATGGCTGAGCCATCACTCTAGCCCCCCAGATTAATTTCTTAAAGCACGCCTCTATCCATGTTAGTATTCTACTCAAAACAGAGACTCCTACTTTTCACATTATTAGTTTTTTGCTTTATAGGTAAGGTATTTCAAAACGGGAATTTTATCTTTCAAAACTTACTTCAAATTCCACTGTAATGATATCCTTTCAATGGCACACTACTTCACACGTATGTCCTCCCTAAGCCACAGTTCAAATTGTCCCTACACCTGTGATAATCAGACTTATTATTACACAGGACTGTAAAAGATGTCATTTCTTCTGCAAAATCTTTCCTGACCCTTCAACATGGTAGCACCTGTATTTCCCCTGAAAATTTAAATGGTACACCTTAAAAACATTTATGATCTACCTTGTCTTATGGTAATACAACTTGCCTTACCCTGTATAATTTGATGGAAGAAATTTGCTTTATTTACACACTTTATCTACATCTGAATAGCCTCCAATGCCAAGAACAGTATTTTGTATAAGTTCTCAATATCCTTTAGAGTAGGGAAAGGAATGAACATATCAAAGGACACAAGCATGATAGGGTGAGAGTTAAGTGGTAAGATCTAAATTCTAAAACTAAGTATTAATCCTTAAAATTTAGTAAGCATAACCAAATTATAGTTAATCTTCATTTACACTTTTAAATCTTCTAACCGTATTTTTAGAATTCAAATTTAAGTATGTACATAGGCACATATGTATCTTATTTTCAGTTCGGGATAGAATCCCAGGCATTGTGCATTGTGGCTTTAATTTTACCATCTATACTATGTCTTATAATTTGCCAGATACAAGTTGCATAATAAACCGTTTGCATACTAGTTTACTTAATGTATGCATTTTACAAATTCTGAAACAAGCATGGAGACTAAACAACTTGCTCAAAGTAAAATATTAGTTAAAGGCAGAATGCAGGCAATCTGAATCCAAAGGCCATGCTCATCACCACAATGCACTGCTCCTTCAGATAACTGCTTCTCTGACTTTAAGAAAGGTAAAAATGGGGTGGGGAATGGGAGGGCAAGGCAGAAGAGGGACTAAAGGGAAGGATAACTTTTGGAAAAGTCATATTGAAACCTATTATTTAGAAGCTTCTTAAGATATATATATATATATATGCAATATAAAAAGAATATAATCCATTGATGTAGTAGTGGCACTTTTATCTTGAAGGTAATCAAAAGCTATCTAATTGAACTTAAAGCCCCGTTCAATGGGAGGGAACTCATATGTGCCACTGTAAACATAGCCAAATACATAAGGTTGGAGGTCATAGATCCTAGAGAAACCCTATCTCCATCACATCCTTTCTCACTGTATGCTAAATAGAGCTTTATATTTACAGACAAGTATACCATTCACCACTCATCAAGGTAATCAAAAGCTATCTAATTGAACTTAAAGCCCCGTTCAATGGGAGGGAACTCATATGTGCCACTGTAAACATAGCCAAATACATAAGGTTGGAGGTCATAGATCCTAGAGAAACCCTACCTCCATCACATCCTTTCTCACTGTATGCTAAATAGAGCTTTATATTTACAGACAAGTATACCATTCACCACTCATCAAAAAAAGTTTTTTTTTTTTGGCAAAAGCTGGACAATAGTACAGAGTTCCACAACTGGTCTCACACAGAGAATATATATATGAGAGATTTCCAGCCCTAAGTGACACAATCTACACTGGAACCTCTACACCTAAGGCTCATGAAACAGCAGAACAGGGGTAGAGACAATACTAATGCATCTCTCGACTCCCAGCAGCAAAGCTTACTCACGCAACAGAGTAATGCACACAGAAGGCCACGACTGGCCACAGTGTACAGAATAAGAGACTGCAGAGTGCATGTCCGTGGATAGGAACCCTATAATAAAACTCATTTACCCAGGGCTCAGGAACCACTGTAGAAGAGAAGGCAGGAAGATTTTAAGAGCCAGGTTTGGTGCATGAACATAAGGAAACAGTCTTACAGGACTCTGGGAACTTGCTCACATGAACTTCAACAATGGTGACAGCATGTAGAAGACCCATGATGACTGAATCAGACAAAATCCCTGCATAGAACTGGGAAAATGGGCAGCAGGCCCCCATCTAGGCTGAGGAACCATTGGCAGCCCTGTTTGGTGAGGGACAGAGTTGATCTTCTTTAAGGGAGTGATGCTGACTAGACTCCAGTGGATGAACCTGCACCAAGGGCTATCTGGATACAAATGCTTGACCAGGTATAGGCCTTACCATATATGTCAGAATGCATGAAATCCAGTGGTGGGAGGATATGAGGGGATGTAGATGGGGGAGGGGGTCTAAATTTCATTAAGATTTATTATATGAAATGCACAAAAATTCAATTAAAATATAATATAAAAAAGAGTATAAATGTAGTTACACTACAATGTGTGTTCAATGGCCCTACCATATACCACAGGCTAGAAAATAAAAAGCCCCATGCCAGAAATGAACTCCCTCTTTAGGAGTTGTGGGCCTTGGAGGTTCCATCACCCTCAAACACTAATAGCTATTACCATTGCTCCTAGTTATCTGCCAGAACTTGACCAGGAAGACCCTACTGCTGAAGACACTATATACATGAGTAGTAAAACAAAGAAGGAGAATTCAACTCGGTATTGACTTCAAAGCTTCAGTGCTAGAAGGTGCCCTGCATACTACCAGAAGAGAAAAGTAATCATTAATCAGACCTAGCTGAGAACCCTATGAGATACAATAACAACTGGCCTGACAAGATTTTCCCACCAGTGCAATAGTGGATTGGATATAAGGCCTACTTGACTGGACAGAGCCCATACCTGACACTGTTATCAGGGTGAAGAACCTATGTTTACATAGGTCACAGGCCATAGGGGAAAACAAACTATCCTGCTAACCAATTTTCCTGCTAAATGGACATGGTATTAAACTGATTCCTAGTGACTTATGGTTATACCCATAGATTAATACATCTCTCAACTCTTCACCACAGAAGCAGCTTCTTGCAGCAGATGGCAATTAATACACAGGTCCACGACTGTTCAATGTGTAGAGAATTCTAAGAGACTGTGGAGTGCTCAGCCCTAAATAGGACACCTATATCACACCCTTTATTCCTAAGGTTCAGGGATCATTGCAGAAAAGGAAGTGGAAAGATTGTAATAGTCAGAGGTCTGAATACCACAGGGTAGCTGCACATATGAACCCACAGTGCTTTTGACAGCAAGCACAAGACCCAGCATGGACCCGGAAGGTGGGCAAGCCGCCCCAGCCCTAGTTGAGGAACTATTGATAATTGACAGAGGCTGGGAGAGGGAGAGTCAGTTTTCTTTAGGAGTATGAAAGCTGGTAGGTTAACCAGACTCCAAGGGACAGACCAACAACCAAGAGCATTTGGGGAACACAGAATCCATAGGCCTTAAAATTAATACAGGTTGGGGGGCAGTAGGATGGGATGGAGATAGGGGAATTGTGTTAAGTTCTCAAATAATCAATAAAAATAGTTAAAAACTAAACAAAAAAAAAAAAGATCTGAGCCAGGCGATTAATCCCAGTACTCGGGAAGCAGAGGCAGAGGCAGGCAGATCTCTGTGAGTTCAAGGCCAGCCTGGTCTACATAGTGAGTTCCAGGATGGCTGGGGCTACAGGGAGACCCTGTCTCAAAAAGCCAAAAAAAAAAAGAAAAGAAAAGAAAAGAAAAAAAGATCTGAGCAAATTGAAATTAAAAGATTTTGATTTTCTGGAGAACTCAGAATTTGATGGGAGCTAGAGAGACATTTCTAGAGTTAATGGCAAGTATTGTTCATCCAGAAGACCCAAGCTCATTTCCCAGGACCCACATCAGGCCTGTATATCCAGTGGGCAATTGAACCAATGGACACATAACCACCACCAACCCCCCCCCACATACACATAAACATAATTTAAAATATAATAAAATAACTCTTTAAAAAGAAGAACTCAGAATCAGGGCTAGAGAGATGGCTCAGCAGTAAAGAACATTGTTCTTGCAGAGGCCTCAGGTTCCATTCCCAGCACTCATATGGTGGTTAACAACTGTCAGTAACTACACCTTCAGGGGATTCAATACCCTTTTCTGGCCTCCACAGGCACTGCATGTACCTGGTGTACTTACATACACGCAGTTAAAACACTCATACACATTAAAACAAAAATATATGAAAATTTTTTAAAAGAATTCAAGAGTCATAAAGTTTGATTTATAATAAAATGAGAAACTGAGAAGGTTGCTAAAAACATCTGCGGCGGGGGTGAAGGGTGGTGTCAGCACACTGAAAGCACTTAGGTGCGTTTTATTTTTTCCACAATTTTTTTCTCTGAAGTTAAGGTGTTATTTGCCACTTATGGCTATGGATGTGGCTACAATGTCTTTTTTCAATTTATGAGAAATGTGTATTAATAGGTGCGAACAAGGCTCTGAGGAACTTCTTATTTAAAGCTCATTATGTTTTGTTACAAGCAATTTTCCTACACCTTATATTTGGTTTTAGGAATGAATTCCACAAAGTTAAGGTTATCAGACCTCTGAGTCAGAACTTAGCATAAAAGTTCTGAAATCATCATACAATTTCTACTCAGTAAATGAAATTTAGGCAAACTAAGTCAAAGTCCTAAAAGTTGGCTATGTTCCATTATCCCAAGGTTTATGACTGGTAAATGTTATAGTATCTATTATGCAGCAAACAACACATGATTTCATCCATTCTTACCTTTGCACCTCCCAAAAATCCCAAGGAAATGGCAACTCTAGCTCGAAGATCTGGCCTGTCTTTGGGCCACACATAAGAAAGCATTGCTTTTAAGATTTTTTGAGTATCGACATCTTTTAACTATTGAAAGAGAGAAAAAAAGCAGTAAGTAACATATTTCAAATGTAAACAATTTTTAGTCTGTTATATTCATTTCTAGAAAACAAAAATATAATTCTCTTTGCTGGCAAAAGCACTCAAATACACTATTAGTGGGGAAGACTCTGAAATGATGTATCTGGAAAGAAATTTCATACCTACAGCATTCTTTCAAAATAATTCTGCCCTTGGTGCCCAAAAATTCATTTCTGGGAATTAATGCTAAAAACAATCTGAACAATATGTTCCAAGATGACTCTATTTTACCTAAAAAATCTCTTGAATTTGTCTATTTTCCATTTCCAATCACTACAATAATCCAAATTATAACTAATTTATACCTAAAACAGTATAACAACCTAATTTATCTCCTTGCATCCATTCTGTTCCCTATCTAGAAGGTTTTCCCTTTAATTAAATACTTCTAATAGCTTGAAACACATAAGCAGCAGCTTATCTTTCTTGGACTATAAAGCAGAGTCTGTAACATGGCTGATATGGTTCTGTTTGAGTCCATCTACACATTAACTCTGTTTTTTACTCATAAAGCACTATAAAATGCAATGGCGAACATATGGTAGGTATTTAGTCAATATAGAATGAGGAATCCATATTCAAAAATAGACTTTACATACAAAATAGAAGGGGGATCATGTACCACTAGAAAGGGGTCTAAAGGGACAGACAATGAGGAAATAAGACAGTACAGTAATGAGGGGAAAGAAATGTATATGTATTAAACAAACGGATGGATGGATGGATGGATGGATGGATGGATGGATGGATGGATGGACGGACAGATGATTGATGATAGATAGATGATAGATAGATAGATAGATAGATAGATAGATAGAGGATAGACAGATAGATAGATAGATAGATAGATAGATAGATAGATAGATAGATAGATAGATAGATAAGGAAGAAGAGCTGTTTGGTGAAAGGAACGGAACCAGTGGGAAGTGGGACAAGGGAAAATAGAGAATCATGTAGAACAAATATAAGCACTATCCAGGGACATATATATATGTAAATGTCATGATGATACACATTATTTTGTATGCTATATAAAAGTTAAAATTTTAATTAAAAAAACTTCTAAACCAGAGTTTACACTTAAATAAATTAGCTATAACAATGTTTTATGCCAGGGTTGTTTTAATAGAAACAAAATTAGAAAGCAATACCCCCCAAAAATGTTAAGAACAGTAACTATGAGTGGGGAGAATAAGTTTTTATATTCTTTTTACTTGCTTATATTTTCTGTAATTCATATATAGCAAGAAGAAATTTTTTAACTCATTTCAAAAGGGGAAAACAATTTAAAATAGATTTGTATAGCAATGAATGAACAAAAACTGTTAACATATAAGAGACCCAAGGCAATATATCATAAACACAGAGTTACTTTTGTATTATGTTCATCCTCATGAGGCTTAGCAAGCTATTTTGCTATTGTTTTAGTCAGTTTATCGTGCAAAGAGTAACAAAAATAAAAGTGTCTGTGTTACGTTGAAAACAGGATTACCAACCTGAGTTGCTTTAAATCCTTAAGATGGCAAAACCTAATGTTTTATTTTGCACATATGCACATGCTCTCATAACTGGTAAGACATTTTAAAAACAGAATGAGGCAATAATTTTAAATTTCACTTTTTCCAATTGAACAATTACAAAATAAATATAATTTAATGCATTAAAACACAATCTGGGGGCAGTTCAACCACTTTCCCATTTCATGAGGTTTTTTGCCTTACTTTTTCTTGATGGAGTAATGGAAAAAACGGCCCTGCTTCCACACATCTTTAAAAACACTCTCTCCTGTCAAAACGTTCTACAATACACCCCAGAATTTTTTCAATAGGGACACAGAGAAGTTATGGCTAAGAGCAAGAAAATTATTCTAGTTGGCTTAATAGTGCATAAAATGTCACCACTTCATTTAACAAAATGGGTTCTGAAGTTGTGTAATCATGCATTATGAGTCCATTAAGCTGTAAAGGACATGACTTCAGTTAGAGTTTAGATAAACTACAAAGTTTGAAATATGTCTTTTAAAAAAGTAGAGACCAAATCAAAAAGGCATTTCAGAGCCTGAGGTAATTTTTTAAAGAATTTAAAACCAACTTATTTCTGCTGACCTCCGTATAGATTTGAAAGATAATAAACCACCTTCTAAAACTACCAGTTATTTCATCCTACACATCCAGTGGTAAGACTGAAAGACAAAAGGTTATCTAAATCTAGAAAGACCCTAGCCACTAACTTGAGTCTGAATTAACATCACCTTGATATCAACTGTGCATTTTCAACCTGGCTCACTGATAACAGATAATGTCAATAACAGCATGCTTACCCCTTTAAAATCATATTGTCAAAGAAAGGGGAAGAAATGTAATTACCAAAGATAATGACAAGTTGCGTTATTTGAAATACTACTTGCTGTGGCCCACGAGATGGCTCAATAAATAGGCAAAAGCACTTACCACCAAGGCTGACACAAGCACCAACACACACACACATACACACACACACACACACACACACATACAGACACACACAAAATAAGTGTAATAAAAAGTCTTTTAAAAAGATGAAAAATACTTTCTGTGGAATAACTGTATCATAATATATGGCAAAAAAATCAAGCAACGATTAAAGGACATGAAGCCCTCCTCAGTGTTGAAATTCCTGAAGTAATGGATGATATTCTAGAAGCTTTTAAGCCTCCTTTATACATAAGAACTATGAAATTCTTTTTTTCCCTTTATCATTTTCACAGAATTATATATATATATATATATATAGTGGAGGCAGAGGTAGGAAAATCATGAGTTGGAGGCCTGCCTGGGCTTTGTAGCAAGACCCAATCCCCCCCCCAAAATACTGATGATATTAAGTAAAGTTTCCAGAAAAATTCTGCATCTTTGGCTGATCAACTGATTAGCAAACACTTCAATGACTGTGGAGAGTCTGGAATGCTGCAGACCCAGAGCCTATTTACAATTTATCTTTGGGCCATTTTTAGTCCCTAAATAACCACGCCTTGCCCACCTTTCTTTCAGACTTAATATCTTGTGAGTAAGAGATAAAAATCCTTTAGGAATGTGTTAACTTAAAAAAGCCCTAGCTCCCACCAAACATAAAGCTAAGAAGGCCATCGGATAGCATCTGAAGCCTATAGCTGAGATTTCTCTTTTGCTGTAACTGCCTACTTAACGTTTCTACCAAGTATTTAAAAAATGTCTTGATTTGTGGCTTTTCTTTGTTCTATTACTACAGAAACTTCATGATACTGTTACCATGTTGCAACATGAAACTTGGAGTAACCTGAGTCTGGTCACTCATTTATTTATTTATTATCTATTTATTATTATTTATTAATATATTATATATTTATTAGTACCATGTTGCAACATGAAATTTGAAGTAACCTGGCCATGGTCACTCTTACTTGGCTCCAGAATAAACTATCATCTCTTATCCCATGTGAGAATTGTACTTCTGTGTCAACAATGACTACAACAAGACAAAAAAGCTTTCTAAAGTTGAATGCTATAGAAATATTCGTTAAAGGCCTACAAAAATAGGAGTGCATCTTCTTTCCTTCACTATTAAGAGAATACATACAATGTGGCCTTCTTGCTGTATCTAAACAGGCTCAAATTTAAAACGCTGAAATGATATTTAAGTACCATTACAATGAAAAACTAGTACTGACTGAGTATATCAAGCTTTTACTAAAAAATACTGATTCTTCACTTGGGCTCAGGGTAACTAAAAACTGGATGAAAGCCTGGTGTCTCTGTATTCATTTTATGTCTGGTTTTTTTTTAAACACAAAACAATTTTGGTTCAGACTCTTGTTTGACTGCATAAGCATAAGAATCATTATGGAGTGTCTACCTAACCCAGCTTACCCTCCTTCAAAACTGAAAACACAGACCTGAGAGTCATTGTCCTAAACTTACAATCACCTTGGATTCCAGGAAAAGCAATGCCTGGGAGGACAGGACCCCCACCCCAAGGTCCCTAGGTGAGAGCAATTATCCATAAGGGTGAGGCTGTACCCTGGAGGAGAAGTAAATCATTTTCTGGGAAGTAGATAAATCCCTTCAAGCAATGACATCAGTAACTTCTTCTGACCACCTAACAGAACAGGAACTGAGACAATGATCAAGCAGAGCACCCCCTGACCAGGACTGGTTTACTATGTATACTTCTTGCTCCTCAGCCCAATTTTTCCTCTAGTTAAACCTAAAGCTTAGGTCAGTGCCCTGACTATGTTGCTCCTCTTTCCAGAAGACTAATTAAATCTCTTTTCTCTGCTTTTCCCATAACTCCTCTCTTTAATCAATATATTGGGAGGTGTGGCCACACTTAGCTAGTTGAATTGGGATTGCTGGAACTGGGAATTTGCCCTAAAACTACATTTACAGGGGGAACAGATTTAAAAAAAAAATACCTCAGAGCTGGAGAGATAGCTCAGCGGTTTTAAGAGTATTTGTATTGCTTTTGCAGAAGACAACATACACACATAGGGTGGCTTACAACTGCCTGTAACACCAGCTCCAAAGGGATCTGATACCTCTGACCTTTGAGGAAACCTGCATTCACTGTCACATATCCCCATACAGATACACAAAATTTAACACAATACAAATAAACTGTAAAAAGAAATTTCTCAACTATATTTTGAAATTGGGCATAATTAAAGGAAAGCAGCAAGATTCGGGAAAAAAAAATACAAAGGTAGCAAAACAAATTTGAATTGACTCACAAAGATCTTTGAATACGAACAAAAATTCTATTGTGCTTCTGTTCTAGAAATATATTTAAAAGAAAAAAGTTTGGAACTGTCATACAGCTAGAAGATGGGAAGGACGTAACCAAAAACAAGGTAGCCCAAGAGAAACAAAACAAAACACAAAACAGGTACCAGAAAAACAACCTTGACCAATATCAGAAACAATGCTCAATAA